AACTCACAGAGATCCGCCTGGCTCTGCCTCCCGAGTGCTGGGATTAAAGGCGTGCACCACCACCGCCCAGCTCCCAGCCCTCTTTCTACTTTTTACTTAGTCCAGGCCGGACATGAACTTGCAATCTTGCCAGTTTCCCCGATGGCAGGATTGCAGCAGCTCACAGCTCAGTGTCTATCTCCTGGAGGGAGGGGCCTCAGTGTACCCCTGCGGCCCTGCACTGGCTGCTCTCTTTCCCACTCACACGTCAAGTGTGGCCTTTGCTTCTAGCAGTACTCACATCATCAGTTTTCAGGGTTTGAAGAAATTCCTGCAGTTTATCTGTTGTTTTATCTGTTGCTAGAGACAAGATTTTCAGGTCCATTGTTGCTCATATCACAGAACTGTAAGAAAAAGGAAAAAAAGGTCACAGCTGGAAGCTTCTAGAAGTAATTCATACCGGTTACAGACAACACTGTAGTGTTCAGCAGATGGAAACCTCAGGTAAGATGATGATGCCTGGGGCTGAAGAAGTGGCTCAGTGGTTAAGAATACCGGCTGCTTTTCCAGAGGACACGAGTTCAATTCCCAGCACCCACATGGCAGCTCACAACTGTTTGTAACTCCAGTTCCAGGGGATCTGATGCCTTTACATCAATGCCCATAAAATAAATTTAAATAATTTATTTAAAAAAAAAAAAAGAAGATGATGATGCTTATCCTAATCAAGTCTTACGAATTCCCTACAACTCTGGACATGGTTTCAGAGTTTCTGCATATTTTACCATCTATTCAACATAATGCTTAAAACCAAAATAGCACTGAGCTATATATCAGATATATTGTAAAACTATAGGACTATATAAACATACAATAAAAATACTGTTGGACAAATGAATAAACTAACAGCATCATAAATGATAAGTACCAATTAAATGGTATAAAAAAAAAACAAGTAAGGCTGAAGATGTAGCTCAGTGGGACAGTGCTTGTCTAGCATGCAGAAGGCCCTGGGTTCAATTCCCATGCCATAAAAACGGGGAAAAAAAGAGAGAGAGCAGAGAAGTGTGTGTGTGTGTGTTAGAGATCACATGCACTAGCTGGTTAGCTCACACCTGGAGAGGGAGAGGCAGGATTAGGAATTCAAGGCCAGCCCTCAGTTACACAGGCAGTTTGAGGCCAACCCTGGCTACAAGAGATTCTGTCTCAACAAACCACAGAACAAAAACACGTGAGAAGCTAACAACACTAAAAAATGTTTTCAGAAAAATAGTCAGAACTGGAAATTAAGAAACGAAATGTAGGTAGCCAAGACGACCAGATAGTCTACAATAGTGGGAAGGAGGATACCATAAACAAAGGCAGGCGTGTGTGTGTGTGTGTGTGTGTGTGTGTGTGTGAGCTGAAAGGCGGATTTGGGAATGTAAGTAGCGTGGCCGGCCAAGGAGAGCAGCAAGGCTTGAGAGAGGCTGAGAAGAAACGTGATCTCAAGTGTCAGTTAAGGAACTTAGATTTACTGACAGCTACCAAAAGTCCTTGAGTGACAGAGTCTGACGAGACTGGAAACAGTCTTTGGGGCAACTGAACATCAAATTATTGTGCAAATCAAACTAGGAAGGGAATATGGAGAAAGAAGAAACTGACAGGCAACCTCGACACTGTTTTAGTGCTAAAGATAAAAGGCCTGTGTAGAGTGTGAACTGTGTGGTGGAAGAGATGAATGCAGGCACATCAGACACAGTCCTGAGTAACAGGGAAGTGAAGAGGAAAATGCAGACTGCAGGGGGGAATAACCCTCCTGTTTCTCCTCTCCCTCCTGCTTCTCATCCTCAAATACAGTACCATCAGCCACTCAGCCCAAAACCCCGGGCAAATTCTTAGGAACTCAGCCTTCATCCCCCATATCCACTACCAAGTCCTATCAACGTCATCCCCTGAACATCTCTCAAATCTGGCAGCATCTCTCCACCTCTGTTCTAAGTAACATTACTTCAAAGCCACCAGCATCTCCCACTGAACCATCCCAGAGGTATTTTAACCTGTCCTCCTCTACACAGCAACGACATATTTTTAAAAACAAAAAAACAAATTATACATTTTCCTTCCAATCTATCCTTATCTTAAAAGTGGTTTTCCAGCCAGGCAACGGTGGCTCACCCCTCTAATCCCGTCACTTGGGAGGCAGAGGCAGGCAGATCTCTGTGAGTTCAAGGCCAGCCTGGTTTACAGAGTGAGTTCCAGGACAGCCAAGGGCTACATAAATGAGACACTATCTCAAACACACACACACACACCTGTGTTAAAACTTTATTATAGCCAGGTAGTGGTATCGCAGGCCTTTAATCTCAGCACTTAAGAGGCAGAGCCAGGTGGATCTCGGTGAGTTCGAGGCCAGCCTGGTCTACAGAGTGAGATCCAGGACAAGCACCAACACTACACGGAGAAACCCTGTCTCGAAAAACAAAAACAAAAACTTTATTATAGAGAACTAGTAAATAAGAAAAAAAATCACAGAAAGAAATTAACCAGACTCAAAGTCTATACATCACAATGAACTTCTATACAATTAGAAGAACCATTCTAAAGCTGTGGAACTTCACACTGAATTTTGCACCTTCTCTATCAAATATGTTTTTATGCACTTACCCTCCACCCAAACCAGAAAACCATATATTAGAGTTTAAACTAGGTGAGAAGAAAGGGCTGACTGCAGGTAATGGACATTTGAGTCATGAAAAAGTTTTACCACTGTATTCTAAACACAATGAATTGTTTTCTGTCCTTCAAAGCCCCAAGGTCCTGTTATTGGCCCTTATAAATGATTTCTCATCTGAAACAAAATAAATACCCACTCTTCCATCCTTGCTCTCTAACCACTCAATTTCTACAAAACCTTCAGACCTCAGCTCAGCCCACACTCTCTTAGATGCTGGGGTTAAATGTTCTGCATTACATCCTCCAAAAGCACCAATAAAATTCCTTCCACAACGTTACCAATTTAGGCTGGCCTTGAACTTCCAAGTGCTAGGATTAAAGGCCTGTGCCACCACCACCTGTTCCAACTTTTAATACTACATTTTAAATTAATGGCTAGGTCTCCCACTGGTCTACAACTCCATGAGTGTATCCAGTTTTTTTTATTATTGTTATCTTGAGCACAGTATCAAGCTTATTAAGGACCTAACAAAATATCTGATGTGAGCTAAAGGATGTCGCTAAGTTCGTAGAGGGCTTGCTTAGCAGGGTGTGACGACAAGCCACCCCAAGACTGTGTAAACCTGGCATGGTAATGCATGCCTGGAATCCAAGCACTCAGGTGGAGACAAGATCAGAAGTTCAAGGTCATCCTCGGCTACATAAGACCCTGGCTTTAAAAAAAAAAAAACGAACGAAAGGGAAAAAGAAACAGAAACTATAAAACGAGGCAGCTAATGCATATTTTTCTATCCCAACTTCTGAATACAGTGCCGAAAATATACTAAGCATTTAGTGAAGATTGGGTGTTCGTTTTGTACGTTAGAATAAACACTATATACATGGAAAAAAAACAAAACACGACTCTGGTGGGGGTTGTTAGCTTCTGGAGCTCCATTCTACTCACGTGTGCGCCGCTGAGCAGCCTGCCTATCTACCCTACGCAGTGTCACTGGCCTGTCTTCCCACTGGCACTGGGCTCCACGCGCGACAGCGGGCTCGGGGACGTCCCAGCCGGGCAGGACCAAATCGGGAGGGCTAAGCGGGGCGCGCCCGGGAGACACCCGCCAAAGCTGAGGCACCCGACCCCAGCGCGGGCACCAGGCACGGCGGGACGCCACGTCGCAAGGACACCCGCCCGACCCCACGAGCCCACGTGCCCCCGCCCCGGGTGCGCAGACCCTCGACAGTCACCTTAACCCCGCCGCAGGCTCCTTCCAAAATTCCCGCTCAACCCCACGCAGACGCACTTCCGTCGCCCAGAGCAACAGGTCCCGCCCCCGCGGCTCATTTCCGACTCCCTAGGTGGGGCGTACCATCTAGATGACCGGCGGGGGGGGGTGCGGATCATTGCGGAGTTCTTGGTCTAAGTTCGCGGGCGGGGGAGGCGCGACCTGCTTACCCGCTTTGAGGACCCCAGAGTGAGCATTCCCGTTATGGTCTGACCTTGCCAAGCTTTCCTTGAGCTCTGTAGTTGAAGACAGTGCGCAAGGGATTGAATTCATAGATGGCTTTTCAGGTCTTTGCGTTGGAAGCACCTGAGAGGCAGAGGGAGCCCTCAGATTTCATCCTGTCCTTGGGGAGGCGAGGCAGCACTAACCTCTGCTCTCTTACATAACCTCAACGCTTAGCTGGTACTTTCCCAGAAACAGTGAATGTTCGATACATAGTTGTTAATAAGCACCTGACTGTAGAGTCAAGATCAATGGAGCAGTGGACCGAGGTTCTATTTTAGATGGAGGGTGCAGCTTGTGCCAAGTGCCCAGAGTCAACAAGCATGTGAAGCATGTGCTTAGGGTGGTTAGAAGGGAAGCAGAGGCATGTACATTTCCTTAATATTGGTGACAGCGGGTGGGGGGGAGGGGTCGGGGATGATGATGATGAATGTATTCACATTGTCTAATCACGTCCTTTTCAGATGAGTGCCCCAGAGAGTTCAAAAGAAATGATGAGCTGAGTGCGGAGGCCCTAAGTAGGAACCCTTAAGAAGTTGTAAGTTGTCTGTGGTAGTGGTCTAGACTGTGGCAGTGGGGACGGAAGGGGTGGGTGATGGAAAGGCTTCAGATTTGATAGACATCAGGAGTGCAATGGGTCCTCTTGGCCAGCTCTGGAAGAAACAGCTGCTGGAAGAAACGGATGTTTCTCAGCTGTCTTCCTTTGCTCCTTCTGGGACTCCTCTCCTACAGTTCCGTCTCAACTTTGAGCTGTGAGATGTAGCTAAAACCCAGCAGCTGAGTTTGAGGATGGTTCCTGAGAGGAAGCCTTTACTTTGCTAAAGAACCAGATAACTTCGTCCATCTTCACACAAAACCCTCTTTCCAAACTCCTTCTAGGACTGGACCATTCAACTCTAAATCTGTCGGCAGTCTGTGTAGCTTAAATAAATTCATTAGCACCCCTGAGTTTCCATTTGTGCATCCCAGAGCACTTACTGAATTGTTTGCATGAATGTCTACCCAGTAACGTGAATAATAGTATCTATGTTTTTCATTAACATTAAGTTTTTTTGTTTTTTTTTTTTTTGAGACAGGATCTCACATAGCCCAGGCTGGCTTCTAACTTGCTATCTCACTGTGGCTGGCCTTGAACTCCTAATCTTCCTGCTTCTACTTCCCAAATTGCATATGTGCCACCACACGTGGCCAGCATTAACGGTGCTAGTAAGATAAAGGATAGATTCGGGTTAGTACCTGCAGTTTCCACTCTGATGCAGACTTCCTTAACTAAGCAGCTAATCTTTTCCCATTCAGCTCACCAGTTAGATTCCCTGTGTGGGTACTTACAGGGTCTTGCTCATCTGTGGTCCCAGTGCTGGGGAGACAGAGACAAGAAGGTCTCTAGGGCTCACTGGCCAACTAGTGTAGCTGAGTTGGCAAGTGCCAGACCAGTGAGAGACCTTGTCTCAAAAAAGGGGGGTGGGAGCCGGGCGGTGGTGGCGCACGCCTTTAATCCCAGCACTCGGGAGGCAGAGCCAGGCGGATCTCTGTGAGTTCGAGGCCA